CTGGATCTTTCTGCTCTGCCACGCCAGTTGCTCCTTGAGGACAGAGGTTTGACCAGAGCCTCCTCCCCTGAGGCCCAGTTCCTCAGGGGTCAGGCCACGCCTAACTGCTGGGGGAAGGTTGGGCTGGCGCTCTTTGGACAGCGGCTAATCTTCTAGAGTGTGCCTGTAGAACCAGAACAGGAGAAGTCAGCATCTTAACCTCCACATGCTCAGAAACGAGGACTCCCAGGCATCGCAGGGCAGGGTTATGTGAGGGAAAGGAACTCTACCTCGGCTGTCATTGAGTTGGTGGCCAGAGAGCCTGTATTGCTGATGCTCCTGGTTCATGAGCTTCTTTGCCTTTTCATCCTCATCCTGTCTCCTCTGAAGAAGGTACAGCAGAAAATCAGCTGAACTTCTTTTTACAAGTGTGACGGGATAGTTTATGAAAACTTGGCTGTTTTTCTCATTCCTATGAACTTCTCCAGTACAATAATCTTATAAAAGTTGTTTATAAAAAGCTGTGGCTATATTCTGACATCTGGCACAGTTTAACCCCAAAGATGATGATTGTGATGATGATTGTTATTAGGAAAACCAAACCTTTTATGTCACAAAGCAAGGAAGTGGAGATGACTATCTTTGTAATGTCATTCTTTCCCTATAGGTCTTGGGACCTTGTTCTTAGGATGTTTGTTTTAGAACTTGTCAAGTTAGGTCAGTTAAATCAGGTATCCATAAAACTCTTTCTGGAACCCATAAAACTCTTTACTGTAATATGTACATACATATACATATAGAGTGAATATGTAATACTTTCTTATATGTATATTTTTAGTCTTATAGATGTCAGGGTTGCAGCATGTGACCTACTCATTTTATTGTCCCAGCTCTTCCCATGAGCTATTAATCCATGTAATACCGTAAACAACATGGAAAGACTTTCGGGTCTTAATAAGCAACCCAGATATTTTTTCAGTCAGCACTTCTCAAATTTGACCCCCAACATTTTTCAGAAGGCAGAGGAGAGAGAACACATTAGTACTAGCAGAGGTGGGGTGGATTATGGGGGCAAATACAGAGTGATTACTTGTCTTATGAACTAGTGGTATCTGGGAATTCTTTATTCTGTAGAAATATGTGTCCTCAAATACAGGATCTGGCAGAAGTAATGCCTGCTTGAGTGTGGTTGGTTGGGTAATAATATGGGTGTAATAATGTATAGTTTTAATTTGAATATTTCACCTAAAATGTCATAGATGTGCTTCAGTGTGATATTGTTATGTTTGAGAATTACATACTTACGATTTAGTAATAAAAGATTTTGTAATTAAAAAAGCGGCACTATTTGTGCCAGACACTGTAGTATTGGGTTGACCAAAAAAGGTCCATACAATTTTTTCTGTAAAATAAAAGACACATTTTTTATTTTCACCAATAATATTATTGATTTGTATATTTTGAGTATGTCGGCTATTTCCCACATGGTGTAACTGCCTGTTCTCACGTAATATCTCAACTTGATCACTGTCAACTTCAACTCTTCTACCCAACTGTGGAGCATCGTCCAGCAAGAAATCTCCAGCATGAAACTTCACAGATATCTTTTGACCTGTTCCATCAGTCACAACACCTTCTCCATACACTGCACAAACTTTTTTTTTAAATTTTTACCTTTCTTGAAATAATAAAGCACAATATGCTGAAAATGTCACTTTTTTCTTCCATCTTTATATTAAAATGGCTACACAAAAATTCACTAGTTTTAATAAATTTATTTTTAAATTATATTTTATTGACTATGCTATTACAGTTGTCCTGATCTTTCCCCCTTTGCCCCCCTTCACCAAGTAGCCCCTATTCCTCAGGCAATTCCCACACCATTATTTGTGTCCATGGGTCATGCGTATAAGTTCTTTGGCGACTCCATTTCCTACACTGTACTTTACATCCACATGGCTATTCTGTAACTACCTATTTGTGCTTCTTAACCCCTCACCTCTTCACCCATTCTTTGTCATGTCCCTCCTATCTGGCAACCATCAAAATATGATCTGTATCCATGGTTCTGTCTCTGTTCTTCTTGTTTGCTTAGGTCATTTTTAAAATTCAGTTGGTTATAGATATGTATAACCATATCTATAACCATTTTGCCATTTATTTCTTCATGGTTTTTATCTTTTTCTTAAATAAGTCCTCTGAACATACTATATATTTGATGATGATGAACTCCTTTAGTGTTTTCTTGTCTGGGAAGCTCTTTATCTGCCCTTCGATTCTAAATGATAGCTTTGCTGGGTAGAGCAATATTGGCCGTAGGTCCCTGCTTCTCATGACTTTGAATACTTCTCGCCAATCCCTTCTGGCCTGTAAAGTTGCTTTCAAGAAATCAGCTGTCAGTCTTATGGGAACTCCCCTGTAGGTAACTATCTCCTTTTCTCTGACTGCTTTTGAAAATTTTTTTAGATTTTATTTATTTATTTTTAGAGAGGGGGGCAGGGAGAAAGAGTGGCAGAGAAACATCAACATGCAAGACATACATTCATCTTTTGCCTCTTACACGCCCTCAACGGGGGACCTGCCCTGCATCCCTGGCACATGCCCTGACTGGGAGTCGAACCAGTAACCTTTCAGTTCGCAGGCCAGCACTCAATCCACTGAGCCACACCAGGCATCTGAAAATCTTGCTGTTTTTAAGATTCTCTCTTTATCTTCAGCCTTTGGCATTTTAATTATGATGTGTCTTAGACTGGGCCTCTTTGCATCCATCTTGTTTTGGACTCTCTGTGCTTCCTGGACTTTCATGCCTATTGCCTTCACCAAATTAAAGAAGTTTTCCTTCACTATTTTTTCAGATAGAGTTAGTTTTTTACTCTTCTCCTTTTAGAATCCCTACGATGCAAGTGTTAGAGTTCTTAAAGTTGTACCAGACGCTGCTTATACATTCTTCATTTTTTGGATTCTTTTTTCTTCTTCTTGCTCTGATTGGTGGTTTTTTGCTTCCTTATGTTCCAAATCATTGATCTGATTCTTGACTTCATCCACTCTACTGTTGTTTCCCTGTAAATTATGATTTATTTGAATTAAATTAGTAAATACTTCATTCTCAGTGGATATTTTTTATGCTGCTGAGGTCCTCACTAAGCTCCTCGATCATCCTAATAACCAGCGTTGTGAACTCTGCATCTGATAAATTGCTTATATCCATTTTGTCTGGTTCTTTTTCTGGAGTTTTGATCTGTTCTTTCATTTGGGCCATGTGTCTTTGTCTCCTCGTTTTGGCAGCCTCCCTGTGTTTGTTTCTATGTATTAGGTAAAGCTGCTTTGACTCCTTGTCTTGGTAGCGTGGCCTAATGTAGTAGGTGTCCTGTAGGGACTAGTGGCACAGCCTTCCCTGTCACACAAGCTGGATACTCAAGATGTGCCCTTCATATGGGCTGAGTATACTTTCCTCTTGCGGTTAAGCCTCTATTTGCTGTTGGCAGGTCAATGGGAGGGATTTACCCAGGCCAGTCAGCTATAAGGACTGGCTGTGACCACTGACCACCAACCTCCGCCATACGTGGAGGATCAGCTGTGCAGGGGCAGGGTGGTGGTACTTCAGCATGGTCTGTAGTTGTCCACTTGGCATGCTGACCGTGGGGTTTCCAGGATGGTGAAGGCCAAGGTCAGTCCCTGCTTGTGTTCTGCCTGGGGCCACCCTGCCTGAGCTATAAAGCAATCAGAGATGGCTGCTACTTGTGCTGGGCTTGGAGATTCCCAAGTGAAGCCAACTGTGAATCTAGGCTGGCTGCTGCTAGTGCCAGGCCAGGGGCTTACTGAAGCCAGCTGTTGCTTATTTGATAGAATTTAGGAAGTTATGAAGCATGAGCCAAGACCAGCCCTTCATATGGAAAAGCAGCTTGGGTGGGCCTGTAAGTTGGGTGGGGCAGAGTCTCTGGGGATCTCCAAGGCGGGTCAAACAGTGTTAGCCAGGTTGATGGAGTCTCAGACATGATACTAGCTTGCTGGCTCTGTGGGAGTAGCATTTAGAAAAGGGACAATGACCTCTGCTCACCTTGATGCCAGACACTTCAGTTTCTCCCTGTATACCACTGGTGCCTTTCATGCTGCTACCCCAGTGTTGGAGCTCAGAGTATGTCAGAGTAGGTGAGTCCTTGTATGGGTTCTTTAAAAGGAACTCCTTAGGGCTCCAGCAGTTTCTTCCACCAACTCAATCCCTACTTGTTTTTGCAGCCAGAAGTTGTGGGGACTTTTCTTCCTGGCGTTGGAACCCTGGGCTAGGGGGCCTGGTGTGGAACTGGGACTCCTTGCTCCCCAGATATTCCTCCCAAATTTTTATCCACCACACATGGTTTTGGGACCAGCCTGTTCTGCATCTGTGCTCCTTCTACTGGTCTGGATGGATGTGGTTTCCTTAATTCTGTAGTTGTCAGACTTCCATTCAACTTGATTTCTGACGATTCTAAATGATGGTGGTTCTGTATTTTAGTTGTAATTTTGATGCGGTTGTGTGAGGAGGCAAGCCATGTCTGCCTACCCTGCCATCTTGACCAGAAATCCCAATAAGTGTTTTTTAAATGCAAGTTGATATGATAGCTGTTACAATACTGTCTAACAAAATTGTTTTAAATGAAGTTAAAGACAACTAAGCGCTATTAGAACCATCTTAAGGAAAAAAACAAATGAACTTCCTGGCCAACTGAATACATTTTGCCTGAATAAGAAGAACGGATCATCAGATAGTTTCTTTTTGTCTTATTAGTGCCGGTGAAGTTCATGAATGTCTCCCAACAGACAGCAAAGTATTAAGTGACATTTTTTGAATAGCACTTGCAAGAGTTTTAAGAGGGTTAAAGGCAGATACACGTTTTTAAAGGTGAGAAGTCATGGTATAATATACTTCATATCTCTTAAGAAAACTTACCACCACCTAAATATAAAATATAAAAATTTAAAAGAAATAAACCAACTCAGTGTTTTGGTAAATCACATTGTGTGTATGTGTGCGTGTTTTCCAGACACATGAAGATTCATGAGAAAGACCCTAACAGTGCTGCAGCTGCAGCCCCTCCGTCCCCACTGAAGCGCAGGCGGCTGTCTTCCAAAAGGAAATTCAGTCATGATGCCGAGTCGGAGAAAGAAGACCCAGCGCCTGCTAAAAAGGTCCTCTGCTCCCAGCATGGATGTGCTTAACCTTGGGACTCTTGATTGAAACACCCCAGTCTCTAATTTCTCAGTTTGGGGACTTAGCAGCCATCCATCCATCCTAAGCTTCTGGCTTGTGTTTCCCCCCACTATTTTGTAAGGTGTCTACAGAAAAAGAGCGCCTGTGTGCTTTCTCTGTGGAGCCCCCGGCTGAGCCCACTGATGGAATGAAGAGCTCGTTCCATTGCTCCTCTACTTCTCTCTTTTCCTAGCTAGAATGGAAGCTTCCTAAGTCCTAGGGACTCTTTTTTTCCCCCACTCTTATTCCCAGTGCCTGTCAAATGCTAGATGCTCTGTAAATATGTGTTGAATGGATGGGGGTGAGTGGGTGAGTGGATGGAAGGATGGACGGATGGATGGTGTACTTAGTGAGTGTTCATTGCATGAATGAAAGACTGGTCAGTAGTATCCTAAATACGTAGGGGCTGGTATCGCATTCCTTTTAGATAGCCTCTCGATGGAGTAGGCTTCTCTTTGGAAGCAAACCCATGTGGGAAGACTCCTTCATGACTTCACTTTTTCCTTTTCCCTAAGATGGTAGAAGATGGGCAGTCAGGTGACTTGAAGATGACGGCTGATGAAGTGTTTCACTGCCCAGTATGTTTCAAGGAGTTTGTTTGCAAGTATGGACTGGAGACCCACATGGAGACCCACTCAGATAACCCACTAAGGTAGGAAAAAGGGCGGGACATACCTGCACCCTGGAAAATTCTTTCCATTTCTGTTTTTTCTGGTAGATGACATATTGCTTTTTTGTCATAACTATGTACTGGGCTGAAATCATTTTAACTTGGGTATGAGGACATTCTTAAGGCCATTAAGAATGGTGTATGAAGTTGGGCTGAAAGGCGAGCAACAGAAGATGGCTGTAGGCCACAGAATGTGTTCGCTAAGGTTCACTCTGCTTCCTTCACTACTGGCGAGCCCATGCAGCCATTACTATGAGCCCCCTGTGCATGGGGAGTCTACTCTCATGGGGCTTTTGACTTCGCAGACACATTGTCTTCACAAAAGGTGTTGCAACCCAGTGATTGTTAGCTCTGCAAGAGTGTGTGGTAAGAACAGGAGGGGCATATCAGGTGCCCATACGTGTTTGCACTGCACTGGGCTAGTGACCCAGAACACTGAGAATGCCTTTTGAGGTGACACCAGGTTCTACTTTGGGCAAGATATTTGACCTAAAGGGAAGTGATTATTCTGCTGGCCCAGCCTCAATTTTAGCTCTTCACTGGTGCTAATTTTTCTGATCTCAGCCTTCTCATGCAGAAAATGTACATATGACTTTCACCAGAACTTGGGGCTGTTGGAGGCAGGGAACTCAGCTTTCCCCCGCTACCTTCTCTGAGAACTTTTTCATCAGGCAGAAAGCCCTATGTCCTTAGTGAGCAGCGAAGCTTGGAAGATTTCTCAACCAAACTGCCACTTTTAAAAATGCCATGCCAGTTTTTGAGCACTGAAAAGAACGCACCATTGGGAGCCTCTGGTGCAGTATGAGGCTGCAAAGTTGCACATCTTCCAGGGTCATCCAGGGCAGAGGCAAGCGCATACGTGGCTGCAGCTTTGGGTTTCAGAAGACAGTTGGAGAGTGCAGAACTCTGGACATCTGTGTGTGTGACTCACTGATATGTGGACCAGATTTTCTTCCTGAAGGCACATGTTTGGTTGTGACTTAGGAGTAAAAGGATCTGAGCAAGCCGAAGACTTCTGTGTTAAGGGAAAAGCCTAATTAATTGTACAGTAACTTAAAGCTGTGGCAAATATCATTATCCTTAGTCACATTAGCTTGACATTTTTCCATGGGGGGGGGAAGGAATTATGAAGAGTTTAAAGTGCTGAGCGATTGAAGTGCTATAAAATGTCTTTACATAACTCCCCCATCTTGGGAAATTGTGTAATGCGCGGGAGTGGGCATGGGCCAGTTGTCAGGACCCCTGGATCCCAGTGCTGTCTCTGCTCACGAGGGATCTTGACCAGCTGCCTCTGAACCTTGAAGGAGAACTGGACCGGATAATCCCTGTGTTCCCTTTCAGGCCTTAAATTCTGTGATTCTCAAACCTGTCTCTTAACAGCTCTTTGTTTACCAAGAAAAAGCATCTGGGTCTTAATTTTATAGGCCCTGTAGTTCTGAGAGATCGAGGAACTTGACTTCATGGTTTCATTAACATCCACGGCATCCCTGGATGTGGACTTGTGGGTGATGAATATTGAGGTAGTTCTCTAGACTGAGGACCTGAGCAAACAGAAGTGAATTTACCAGATGAGCCTCACATGGCAGCCAGTCGTGGGCAGAGGCAGGAATAGCCCGTGGGACCCCCAACTCCCATCGCTGCAAGGTAAACACACTGCTGGTCTCCAGGTTCCTTCATACATTTTATTTCACTTCATGCTTTAATCTGTGTTCACATATCTTTAGGAACCATGCACTTCCCCCTTTCTAGATAATTCTGCCTTGCAGGGAAAATAATGTGACGTTCCATAGAGGTTTCTGGGTTGCTGGAGGGAGCACAGCACAGTATGTAGCAGCGGTAGACAAAGATCAGCTGCCCTCTTCTTAAAAGCCGGCCTGCTTGAGGGTGTGGATTCTCCCAGAATGGAGCCTTCTAGACAACTTCCCCAAGGACAGGCTGGGCTTGCTACTCAGAGAGGATGGAGAAGGGAATTGCACTGGACACTGGTTGTTCCATTCTGCACAGTCTGGGTGGTAATTCACTCAGCATGTCTCCAAGGCCTCCAGGGCCACTGATGGGCTATGATCTTGAAACTCAAGTTCTGCCTGATTTCCTTGCCTACTCAGTAGTAATGCTCTTCGTTTGGTGGGGGTTGATAAAAGAAGTTTTATAGCCTGTCAGGGACTTGGTCCATCCCGGTAGGCCGCCCTCCCGTGGAACTCCTGGGTGCTGCACCCACAGTGCCTGGCAGTGACCACAAGAAGAGGCTGCCTAGTTTCCAGTGTGGGGGACAATCAGGCCACCCCCTGTCTAGTGGCTGTTTGTTGCTAGGTGGAGCAAGGCTTGTGTCTGGAAACCAAAAGGAGCTGATTACAGAACATAGTTAATTTCCCTTTTCTCCTGAGTGCTCTGCGTTTCCGCATAATAGCCTGCTATCAGAGGAGGCCATGGATCAGGCAGGAGCCAGCAGGGCCCAGCCAGGCAGTGAACTGTGACAGTAGCTGGTGGGAGAAACTGCTTGTTAACCCGGAGCTAAAATAGGCACCAACTCTGTTTGCAAACCCCAAAGGCAGCAGAACCACAGTGGAATAGATGCTACGAGTTTAGACAGAAAGTTTGTAACTCAAAACAGCTGTTCGCTTCTCTTCTCTCCTGCCATTAACCCCCATCCCCAAAACTGGCAATATGCCCATTGTTTCTTAATAAAAAGTGTTGGAAATCTAAACACGTGTAAACGCTGAGGCTGTTGTCCTCCATTCTCCTGTGTTTCAAATTAATGAAGTGTCAGCATAGAGCAGCAGGAAGACATGAAGTCGCTTGTAGCAATCCTAGCTCTTGTCAGTTATTGCGTGGGCCCTGATGTGACCAGCAGTAAATCCACCCCTCTGTATAGCTCCCCAGACAAGGAGAAGCACAGGGCTTATTGGGACTTGGCATGTGGAATCGGAGGTGATGGACAAGAGTATTCAGCGAGCAGGTGGATGCAAAAAGGACATCCCTGTGTGAGGATGTTTCAGGGTGTTGAATGTCTTGCTTGGTTATAAGAATAGAACAGAGTAGCAGTCGTGCACTGCCATGAATAAAGTTAGCTGGAAGGGAAGTGCAAGTCAGTGCCAACCAACACGAGATGAGAGCTATGTATGTCATTTTAAATTTTCTAGTAGCCACATTAAAAAAATTTTTTTTATAGATTTTTAGAGAGTGGGAAACATTGATTTGTTGCTCTACCTACTTATGCATTTATTGGTTAATTCTTGCATGTGCCCTTACTGGGGATCAAACCTGCAACCTTGGCATATTGGGATGATGCCCAAACTGAGCTACCCACCCAGGGCTAATCTAGTAGCCACGTTTAAAACAATTTTAAAAAAAAACAGGTGAAATTGATCATGTTTTGTTGATTATACCAATATGTGTAAAATGTAATGTCAACATAGATTCAATATAAAAATTGTCAGTGACATGTTTTGCATTCTTACTTACGTACTAAGTCTTGACACTCCAGGGTATGTGGTATGATCACAGCCCATCTCCGTCTGAACAAACATGTTGCAAGTGCTCAGCAGCCCACCTCACAGGTGCAGGTCTCAGACAAGCCCACCTATGGCAGGCAAGGTGCCAAGGCAGAGGTTTTGCTTTGGAAGCCTCTGGTCTTGTGTCAAGTGACTTATCTCAGGCTGATGGAGGCTGGGCCTAGACAGGTGATAGCTGCAGGGTCACCATGGCGATGTGACAGCAGACGGGGGTAAAATTTGGCAATAGTTATTGTTTAATCCTACATAGCTTCTTGATTGAAGGAGATCAGGTAATAAATAATTTTTAAATCATTTCAGCAAATAATACACTGTTTATTATGTGTCAGGTGATTGACTAGTCTTGAGAAAATAAGAGTGATGTTTGAGAGAGGGCACCTTAAGGGCCAGTCAGAAAGCAAGTAAACGGGCAGTAAAACAAAGCAAGGGAGGTGAATTCAGGGCCCAGGGGACACGGTGCCCATTGTTCAAGCAGAGAAAGCCTGATCCTGCTGGTGTAAAGCTTCCCGCGGCATTTTGCTTCAGACGCGTTCCTGCATTTCCGCCCGTGGAGGCCCCCCTCCATCTGATTGAATAATGGGTCTTGGTTGTCTTTGAGGTGATTTCACATTTGAGTGCAATGCCCATAAATTTGTGTCAGGAATTAGTACACGGGGAACCCAGGTGGGCTCTGCCAGGGGGGATTTTCAAGTGTTCCGAAGAGTGTTAAGTTTCCTTTACTGCAAAAAACATACACACATGACCTGCAGGAAGACCCTCGGACTAATTCACATGGCATTGGTCCCACACCTGTTAAATGCCATTCTAAAAATAGGGAAAGGGGATCACAACATATTTGTCAGCATCTTGTATTTGAGTCTCAGGGGTCTGAGGCTCGGCCAGGTGGAAGCAGATTGAAACGATGCTGGTGGCTGAGGCTGGAGAGGAGGACACTTCCCTTCTCCCCGCTCCTTCCCAGTGGGTCTAGTGGCTGGACACACCTTTGTCAGGACTGCCCCCTCTCCACCCTGCCCAAGGATCCTCTCTCTGACCTGGACTGTGCCAGGCAGGGACAGCCACCAGCTTCTGGGCTCACCCCAGCCCTAGGCCTGCCTGGGCATCATGCCACGCTGGTTTGGTTGAACAGCCTGAGCAGGGTGTCGGGACGCGGTGTGCAGCCTGGCGGATTCCTGGGTGTGGGGAGGGCAGGCTGCCACCCGCCACTGGCCGGGGCCCTGTCACAGGGCCCACACTGTTGCTCTCAGCAACTGAGAGAGATTAGTGCAGCTGGTGGATGTCAGTTCTCAGCTGGGACAGGGCTGGAGGGGAGGGTGGGCTAGAGGGCAGAGGAATGTCGGAGCCGGGCAGGGCTCCGAGGAGAGGTTGTTTGCACTTAGCCCTTCTTGCCTCCAGAGACAGAGCAGGAAAAATGAAGCATGAAATCCCTTTTAAAAAGGAATGTCAGTCTCTCCATTAAAACACTGTAATGAG